GGGGGGGATGAGATGGGATGAGATGGGATGAGATGGGATGAGATGAACTGACATCCATGCACGAAAAGCAAGGGAATGGCATTCTTGATCTCGCTCTTCTGCCACACGAAATGGATGTCCAAGTCGCCAAAGCCATCGACGTTGATGGGCGTGTGGAACTGTGGGACTCGGTTCAGTGTCTCCTCGGCCTGTCGCCAGTCCCAGACTTCCCATGCCTTGACGAGGCGCTTCATGTCGGAGAGAGGGACGCCGAGGTCCCAATCCGAGGCGGCGAGCTCATCCGGAAACGAGACGAGAGAGAGCTTGGTTCTGAGGCTGTCGATCTGGGACTGCGGTACCGAGATGGTGAAGGGTTCTGGCGCCGGCATGATGGATGGATAGATAGATAGTAGGTAGGTCGGTAGGGAGGGAGGGAGGAAGGGGAGGGAGGGAGGGAGGAGGGGATGAGTAGGTAGATATATACCTAGGGCTATGGCTGAGCTCAGCAAGCAGCTTCAGAACTCTGGTATAGAGTGGGATGTAGTTATATGTTGTAGGGGATAGTAATACATCGTGATTAATAAGATATATAGCAGTAGATAGTAGTATATAGCAGTATATAGCAATATATAGCAGTATATAGCAGTATATAGCAGTATATAGTAAGTATGGTACCGGTAGTACACAACAAAGTAGCCTTCCCCAATCCAGTAAAGACCGACAGACCATCCCTCATCCGGCCTACCTTCCCCTCATGCGGGGTCCCCACATCCCCAGAATTCGACTCCCATTGGCTTGTGGGTCGGGTACTTTCATTCCTCCAGCTTTTCCGTTCCGTTAGGGCGTTTGTGGCGTGTTCCGTCTTTTCTGTTGAGTCTCCTTACTCATCGTCCTTTTCGTCTTCCTCCTCATCTTCTTCCTCCTCATCTTCTTCCTCCACCTCCTCCTCCTCCTCCTCCACTACCTCCCCCTCCACTACCTCCCCCTCCACTATCTCCTCCTCTTCCTTTTCCTTTTCCTCCTCCTCCTCACTCCTCACTCAATCTCCATGGCGGCCTACCTACCTACCTGCCTGCCTACTTACCACGACCCAGATCATGATGCCCGTCTCCTCGTGGTTCGCACGAATGCAGTAACACCACCGTGTCGAGGGGTCAGGCAAGCAATTCCCGCATGGACCCAACCAAGCAGCTCATCCCTCAATCCAGCCACGACCAAGAGGAGCATGCCTGTCTGTTGGTCGGTCTGTCTTGGTCAATATCGATTGACGTATGCCTCACGGCCGGCTGGCATATTTATCTGCAGCATCGGACCGTCCCCCCAGCAGTCGTTCCGATATCTGTTCCACGTATAAGCATCTGCATTTGATTTGATTTGACATTATTCGATTTGTGCCTTGCTCTATGTTACGTACCCCGCGCTCTAGCGTTCCTTCGCTTCCCTTGTCGTTCATGATTGTCGAGTATCGGGGATTGCGGTGCGGACGTTCTTCTCTCACCCGAAGCACCACGATGCGTACAATGAACATGGGAAGGACAGAAGAGCCAAAGCTTGAGATTAATGGAACTGTTGACCGCTGAAGACCAGTTTGCCTCGCTCTAATGCTTCTAGTCCGATATAGTACAAACTACCGCTCGCTCCATCTATGGTCCAAGTCCATCCACCAAGCCATTGCCGTCTATAGTTCGACCACAGCCACGACCATCGACCCAACCCATTCCGATCCCCGTCTATGCATTTACACGTACTTGCACATCATGGCAACCATGAGGTCGAACAGACCGATGGCCTCAACGAAAGCGAAACCGAGAATGGCGTAGGAGAAGAGTTGACCACGCATGCTAGGGTTGCGGGCAACGGCGGTGAGCAGAGAGGCGAAGACCATACCGATACCGATACCGGCACCTCCGAGACCAATGGCAGCGGAACCCATACCCAAGTTCTGGGAGACCTGGACCATGGCGGTGGCGATCTCAGAGTTGAAGTGACGCTTGCCGGCAACGTTGCGGGTAGCGGAGAGGATTTGGGAAGCTTGTTGACGCTTGATGGTCTGGAATGGAGTGTTGGAGCGGATGGCGGCACCTGGAAGACTCATCTTTAGCAAATTATCGGCCGAAGGGCAGGAACAGTGGATTGGTCCAGAGAGCTCGAGCTCAATTGGCTTGAGCTGGTCTGCTGCAAACCAAATTGCTTAATTGGGTCGATTCGGATTCACACTTACCGGAGAAAGCACGCTGGGAGCTCTGGATGCTGCTGCGAACAACAGGACGAGCGACTTTGGCGGAGGTTGATCCCACGAGGGAAGCAACCTTTGGGGCAAACATGCGGGCAGCCATTGCGTGAGAGAGAGAGAGAGAAATGACGGGAAGGGCGAAAAGCTCTGGTGGATGAGAGATGAAATGTGGTTGTGGTTGGGGTTGTGGATGTGGATGTGAGTGGTCGGTGGTGCAGTGGGAAGAGGGAAGAGGGCTTGAGGAAGAGATTTTTCTGCCGGGTCAAAAGGCCACGCTTAGTGCTCGGTGGATATCTACGGAGCACGGGACCAGCGGGTCATCTGTGGGCGTTGGCCGGTTGGCGAACAACTTCAAAGGAGGTTCAGCGGGTCCGAGACTTGCAGGGTAGGAGCTTTTCTACAACTAAACGGAGCTCGAGACGGATCCAAGGTGGATATGCCAGGGAGCATGTTGGGTCCCGACACAGGAATCGAGCTCAACGACTGGACGCATCAGCAAACATCGGATGGGTCGGAAGAATGCGGATATTACGTGTGGGGGCCGAGTGGGTTAGTATGAGAGAGATTTTTTCCATTCCTGCTTTGCTTCTTGCGCCGTTTGTCAAACAGATGAGTCGAGCCGTCTGGCCCTGAGTGAGCTCTCACCGACGACTTTAAGGAATCATGGCTATACCGACATGCATGCAGATTCACCAGGCGAATTTTGATGGAGATTTGATCTTGGTAGCGGTTTGGGCGGCACTCCGAGAGCTCTGGCAGAGTTGGCTACGCAGAGCGGCAAGGACTCGAATTTGGGTTTTCAGCCTATCTACAAGTGTCGGCGGCATCCGATTTCGGCTGGGTCGTGCTTTTTGGCCAAACAGGTTACTCTGTTCGCCGTCTGGCAAGCCTGAAGCACTCCCTTCGCATTTACCAGTTACTGACGTCTAGGGCGATGCACACTGGGAGGTTTTTATCTCCTCTATTCACTACCTATCTCTTACACCCCTTATCCTCGAGTCCGATCAAATCCGAAAGAAAAGAGACGCAGAGGAACAGACCCCTGCACACGTCAGACCGCCCGAGTGGATTACTGTTGCAGAACTGTGGGCCGGGCTCTTCAAAAGACTTGGCAGTCGACGATGGTCAATTTCCCAATGCGAGTAAATTTACTCAGCCACGCCTTTTACAGCCACAGCTCGGCCTCCAGGCAAGCCACTTCGAAAAGGACGAACTGGAATATGATGAACAGCTCTTCACGATAATCTTTCACGATGTTATCCGAGTATCTATGAGCGGCAGGAGTTGCAATTTTAAATCTTTCGCTCGGATCTCTCTGCTCTTGCGCTTTTGGAAAGCTAGACTTCTTCTTTTGGCATGTATATGCAGCTTGGGTATTCCGTACAGAGCGTCTGATCAGTTTAATCGTCGGTTTCCTTAAATTTAATTCGAAAGAATTGACCGACTTGCTGTAGCAAGTCGGCACCACCAAGGCGGGACAGTAAAATCTGCTCCTTTTTAATGAATAGAAAATCTACAAACTACCATATAATAATTATATTTGTATACAACGATGCAACGTATTAAGTTTAATACAAATCAATTAATCGAATTTTACTTACAGGTTGTTGTTCCTTTATTGTGTTGAGTTAAAGTAGTAAAAATAGTAATTTTGATATATACTTTTCGATTTCATTAATGCGTATATACCAGAATAAGCGAGGAACACGAAAATCGGACTTTTATTTAAACCCATCAAAAGAATACTTACGTGCATCACTACTAACTTTTATTTAATAATTCATACCTTTAGTGATATAATAAATTAAATTATTATTTTTCGATCTATAAGACGTTTTTATTTTATTATTATTAAGGTTGTGCTTTATCAAGATACTCGCAATAAATAAATAAGATTTAAATAAATGATTCACGAACAGCTTTCACTTATATTTTTCATAGCATTTCAATACCGGTACCGGTACATGAGATCATTACAAAATAAAGGCAGTCTCGCAATTTTAATTCACAGTTATAAAAGCGAAGTTTTATGAGCATATATATATATATATATATATATATTATTTTTTAATATTTATATCAATAGTTGTTGTTTAGTAAGTGGTATACTCCCGTTACTGTCCCGCCTTGGTGGTGCCGCCGACCTGGGGTAGCCAGGTCGGGAATTTTTTGAAAAATGAAATTCATGGTAACCGACGATTATTGACATTGAACCGAGGGTTCCAGCCTCCTTCTGCATTCCCTAGAGATATGGGAGGTTGAGCGGGAACATTACTCAAGTGTAGAAATCAATAATTATCCGAGCTTAGCTCGTTGGCAGCAACAACAAGCCCGTCAGTATAGATACGAAGAGAAATCCTGCAGTACCTGTAGACGCCCTCCAACGCCTCGAACCCAACTCGCAGTCGTGGTATAAAATGTTCGTCATTATCATATCAGTCGCTCGCTCATCCCATTCAAACATCCTCACTAGGCACGCTCTCATACTGCCCCCCAATCCCAACCCCGTTCCCACCCCCGGCCCTCCTCGCACTCATCAGTCTCGGCGTCTCATACATCGTCGTGTAATTCACCACCTGCCCACCCAGCATCGCAGACCCATTCTCCCTCTTGCCAAATATCGGGGCGGGATCACACCAAAAGTCCTTGCAATTCCCCATACACCCTCTCGAAAACGGATTGCGATTCGCCCGCGCATTCTTGCCGCCCTTGTAATCCAGCGCCGTCTCAACAAAAGTGTCGACGCCAAGAATTTTCTTCCACTGCGCAAAACATCCGGATTTATGGTGATGGGCATGTGGGGAGTGGCTAGGCGGCAATGCAGGATCAGGACCGAGGCCTGTACTGCCGATTTGGGCGCCGGCGCGAGAGGCGGTGCCGGTCGTGAGGGCGGAGGTGATGGCCTCGGAAGCTTTGCTGGAGTAGTGCCCGTGGTGGGAGCCCTTCATATTCTCCCAGGTCGTCAAGGCCCGCGATACTTGCACGAGTTGAACGAACATGAGCATTGTGACCCAGGAGAGCTGGAGGATGCCCCAGACCATCAAAACGAGAGTGTAGGGGTCGGAGTTCACGACGCGGCAGAGGGATTCCGCGAGAACGTTGCAGCTCGGAGATGCGTCGGGAGAGATGATTGCGTAGTCTGTATGATGTCTTTAGACGTATCTTGGCTAATGAAAGGAGGGGCAACTTACATCCGAGTGTGATTCTGACTAGAAAGCCCAGACCAGCCTCGAGGGTAATCAGGTATAGGAAGAAGTGGCGGTGGTTGTTGACACCAATGCAGTTGTACACCCATGGGCAATGGCTGACATAGGTTAGCGAGTTTTGGAGTATTACCTATAAAATCTAAGACTCACTGATCATGCTTCGCAACACAACGATTACATCGCTTACAGTGTTTGCTTCTCAGCGGTTGTCGCACCATACATGGAACGCAGAAGTTGCTTTCGTCGAACTTCCACAGCGCTAGTAATTCGTCAATTACGGCCTTTTGCTCTGTGAGACCTCCCAATTTGGGAACAAAGCCAGGTTCGTAGAGCATCGTGCAGAAGTAGAAGTATCCGCATAGACTGTACAGCGCCCCAAACACGATGTTGCTGAATGGCATTGACGAATAGGTAACTAAATCCGTAAGCGAGGAATTCCGGGGGTTCAGGGTAAATCCTCTTACCTGGAAGGATGTTGGAAAACCACCTCAAGCCTACCCAGAAAAGAGTTCCTGCAAATATGCCTGCCAGCCAGGGCTGTTTCGTCAGCTCATGTCTTTAAAAGCTGCTGGAAAAACTAACAGTTTTATGAAGATGCCTCATATCAGATGGAGCGTACTCCATTATCGATGTGGCCACCCACTGCAACGAATAGCCCGCCAATAAAGCAAATGGCACGCCCGCAAACACCACCATATGACTCGAGATCATGATCATGACCCAAACCACCATCCACGGCCAGAAAAAGAAGAACCTAGTCATGAATCCTCGATTATTTTTCACCAGCCACGAGGACATGGGGAATTCGATAGCCCTGGGCATCGCATCCTCATCGAATCCACACTCTTTCAAAGCGCGGTGCCAGATCCTCTGCGTCTTCATCTCCTCTGCAGTAATAGCTGGCGTCTTGCCTGTCGACGTCTCGGCAAACCGATCAGAGCCATACTCGACCAACTTCTGTATGCAACCTTGAGATCCCTTCACAAGTGCCCAATGTAAGGATGTAAATCCAGTTTCGTCTACCGCGTGAACGTCCGCGCCCCATCTGAGAAACAGGTCCACGCATGCCGGGAATCCCTTATACGCAGCCCACATCAAACAGGTGTGGCCGTGGCTATCCGGTATATCCACATTGATATTCTGATGTAACAGTAAGACCAGTAGGAATAGGTTACCCTCAAATGTCGCCAGATGGAGGATATTGTAGCCTTGGACGTCTGAAATGAGAGGGTCCGCGCCATGTTCGAGTAAGAGATGAACCGTGTAATAATGGCACCGTTGCGCCGCCCACATCGCCGGCGTCGCCACCGACTCGCCTCCCTTCTTATTGACATCGGCTCCGGCCTTCAGAAGGAATTGGCACATTGCATACTGGTTGTTGATTGCCGCCCACTGGAAAAGAGGTCAGTGAACACTCTCTAGATAAGACAGGAGTTCTCTGCGCGTTCTCACATGTAACGGCGTAATTCCCTCCGCATCGCAATGCGTAGGCTCAAACTTCCCACTCTGGTACAGCCTTTCAATCCCTTGGATATCTCCGACCCGCGCCAGATGCATGATGTCCTCCTCGGGGCTATGTTCCGGCCCTGGAGGCAGCATATCCTCCATCTCGACATGGTCGTCGTCGCTCAACTTTGGCGCGACGGCTGCAGCTTTCCCGGTCCCATTCGGCAGCATGACGGAATTATTTTGTATGGCCACGGGGGGTAGTGTTGAATCCGGGTCGGCGGCGGACATGACGTGCGGAGGGTGCGAGCGAAGAGGAGCTTGCCTTGCTTATATACGGAATAACTGTATCTCTTTGCTAAGGACTGGAGGTTCCACGGCTAGCAGCCAACATCACACGTTGGCTGGGAGATAAGATGGGGATTGCGCCGGAGAATCGAGAGCGTATTTCTTCTTTAACGGATTCTGAATCCGAAATTTGGTTCCCACTGTTGATTCAACTGCACAGACAAGAACGCCTGTGAGCGACGAGGCTGAGTGCCAAGCCAGTCGGTCCCGGGAAGAAAGGTTCACCTTTTGGCAGGGCTGATCAATGTTAACTACTACTAGCTGTCTTAAGCACCAACCTCGCAAATAAGTACCAGATCAGATGAACTTCCATTCTCGATAAGCAATCATGGCTTCGACCATACAAGATTGGGCGCGCGCCCTTCTTGACCCTTCTCCGCTGGGTCTTGTCATCGCCGTCCTCCTCGTTGTCTCGATCCCAATCTTCCTCCACTCCGTCGTCTTTCGCGCCAGCGGCCTCGTTACCCTCCCTTCCATCCTGCTCCTTGGACCCAGCGACTCTGGAAAGACTTCTCTTCTCACTTTGGTATACCGCTTCGCTCTACTACATCTCAATAGACCATTCTTGGAGGAGGATATGACGTGTGTCTAACACCACCCAGTTCGAACGCGGCGCAAATGCCCCAACCCACACGTCTCAAACCCCCATCGCAGTCGAGTGCCACCTCCCTGTCGGCACCACCGCCAAATCTGATTCCTACCGCTCCTCTCACGACCCCTCGTCCATCGCGCACAAGAAGTTTCTGCTCGTCGACACCCCCGGGCATGGCAAACTGCGGCATCACGCCTTGGAGTCCATAAACAGTCCTCAGAACCTCAAGGGGCTCATCTTTGTCGTTGACGCTGCGGCACTATCCGCCGGCGATGACGGGTTGAGACAGACTGCGGATTACCTCCATGAAGTTTTATTATTGCTGCAGAAGAGAAGCGGGATGAAGAGTGTGAAGACGAAGGAAATGCACGTCCTGGTTGCGGCCAACAAAACGGATCTTTTTACCGCGCTGCCGGTAGCGTTGGTGAAGAGCGTATTGGAGGGGGAGATTGCGAAGGTGAGGGTGAGCCGGAGTAAAGGGCTGCTGGACTCTGGAATTAGGATGGGGGAAGTGGAAGACGAGGAGAATGATGACTGGTTGGGGGAGATGGGGTCTACAGAATTCACATTCGCGCAGATGGAAGAGTTCGATGTCTATGTTCAGGTTGTTGGTGGGTGTGTGGAGGGCACGGATGGTCCGGTGGTGGATAAGTGGTGGAGGTGGATTTCGGACAGGCTTTGAAGACAGTGCAATCTTTTGACTTGAAGCGTGCAGTATATTTTCGGTTTTAAATTGCGGTAGGGTGTCTTTATCGTCTCCCCCCCCTCTGAAGGAGTTGCTAAGCGTCCGCCTGGGAGCGAGGCGTTGAAAGTTGTAGTCCCGCTAAGAACTCCAACATTGCTTTTGTAAAAGCTCACCTTGCTGTTGAATTCCCAACTTGCATCGTGTGTATGTTAAAGCTAGGCATCTCAGTATGTACCATGTGGACATCCATCAGCTAGCATACATCCCGTGTCTTTTGCCGAACGGTAGTTAAGTGCGCGAACACAGTAGGTTATCTAGTCATGCTGTTAGCAAGTCGCTATACGCGGGCTGCTGCAGTAGGTTCCCCTACCTCTTTTTCAATGTCCAGTGGCCCTCGTTAGGCATATGCTGCAGGAGGATACTGCGCATCAGAGCTCGCTAGAGTCTTTGCCATGTAAACATACATCACATTAGACCAAGCAGCAGGCGCTTACAATACCAGATGCGTACCAGTCACTTCAATTTTAGTCACTTTGCCGCGTATTCTCGAGTTCTTCTCGCGTGTGCCCGGCTGCAATAGAGCAGAAAAATGCCCAAACTCCTGTAATGCTATGTAGATGTCGCATCTAACCAAAAGAAAACCACCCATAACAGCCCCGACGCCTCACCCTACTCTACGGCACTGGAAGTTCAAAATCTAAATAGAATGCTGCTTAACCATCCAGCTCAGCAAATCAACCTTGGTAACAACGGCCACCGGCTTCGACAGCCCTCCTTGCATCCCTCCAACCTTCTCCGTAACAACAGCCGAGCTATTCCACTCAAAGAACTTACTCAACGCAGAAAGTGGTGTATCCATCGTGATTTGCACAAACTTCCTCTTCGGCGTCTTCTGTTTCTTCCCGTTGTCGCTTTCTTCAAGCCCATTCGTCTTAGGGGCTTGGGAGAGGTGGGAGATGTCCTTCGGATCGGTGACGACTTCGGGGATGGAGGAGAAGTCAAACATAACGTCTGAGACGGGTGATTTTCCTGTTGCGCGGCCGCGGCTGATCCAAGAAAGCAGATTGCCGAGAGTGACGAGACCGACAAGTTTCCCCCCGGTAGGAGCAAGAACTGGCAATTGGTCAAAGCCCTTCTCCCTCATCGTCTCCACTGCTTCTGAGCAGGGTGTATTAGCTAGCACGGTGGTTACGGGCTTGAGACGGAGGGACTCGATAGTGGCACCGTGATATGGGTCTTTCTTCGCTGACGAAGACTCGAGGACGGGCGAAGGGGGTGACGTTGTAGGGGGGCTTGGTGGGAGCAGATCGTTGGCTGCCAGCCAATCGTCGTCTGCGAATTTACTCAGATAACTTCTTATGCTGTCTGGCAAGACGACCACGACAGTATCGCCTTTGCCAAGACCGAGCTCTTTGACACCCTTGACCATTGCTGCTATGGCACTTCCACTGCTACCTCCAACGAGTAGGCCTTCTTCGGCAATAAGTTTTCTTGCGTATGCGAAGGATTCCCGGTCGTCGGTCTTGTACCAGACATCGACCGCTTCTCGGTCGAGAACATCTGGAATGAAATCGTAGCCGATTCCCTCAACCTTGTATCCCTCGTTGGCATGCTCCTGGTTCAGCGACTCCGGCAGGGCAAGGATAGAGCCAAACGGATCCGCAGCAATGACCTTGATGTCCTTGTTATACTTCTTCAATCCCCTCGACAGGCCAGTAATGGTTCCTCCAGTTCCGGCGGCCCGCCACGATGGCTGTGATCTTTCCCTCGCTCTGGGACCAGATCTCCTCTGCAGTACCATGCTCGTGAGCCAATGGGTTGTCTTTATTCGTGTACTGATCTAAGATATGTGAATTGGGGATCTCATTCAGCAGTCTTCTGGCTACACCAATATGCGATTCTGGCGAGTCGAAAGCGGCTTGAGTTGGTGTGCGGATGATGGTAGCGCCAAGTGCACGAAGGACTGCGACTTTCTCGGAGGACATCTTCTCGGGGAGCGTAATGATCGTCTTGTATCCCTTAATCGCGCCCACGAGCGCCAACCCAATTCCACTGGCTAACATAAGAACATAGTCAAGTCTTCTGGGAGATCGGGCCTACGTGTTTCCACTGGTGGGTTCAATAAGAGTATCCCCAGGCTTTATTCTCCCCGACTGCTCTGCCTGCTCGATCATCCGCAGGGCAATACGATCCTTGACACTGCCGCCTGCATTGACAAATTCGACCTTTACGTAGACTTCGGCCTCAATTCCTAGACTCTGGGGGATCTTGTTCAGACGAACGAGGGGTGTGTTGCCGATGAGCTCGGTGGCGCTCATCACCTTGGCTCGAGGCACAGCGGGAGATGTGTGTTTGGTGGACATGATTGCTGTTGCTGTTGATATTGATTGTCGTCTTTGTCCTGATGCAACGAAAGAGAGAGGGTGCGGTATTCTTTGCAAAGGAAAGGAAGTGTGAGGATGGTGGGGTGAGGGAAAGGGGGGTAAAGGGGGGGGGGCAATGTAAGTAACTTTTACGGCAATACTATAAGGTTTGCGCGTCTAAAAGTCTAAAAGGTGTAAGACCTTGAATAAGCGCGGCTCGGCTTTGCATCTGTCACTCTAACCCGATCGAGTCAAGCGCAGTAGTATACTCTTAAATAAGCAATGGCTTGCTTGGCATCAACGCTTCTTCGAATCAAGATCAGACCCCTGTCCGTCTTGTCTGTCTGTCTGTTATCGAAATCGAAATTCCATGAATCCATCCCATCCATCTACAACACCACAATACCACAATACAACGCAAGGCGTACTCCTTCGCCGCATCGCACAACATCCATCGATTCAAAGTTGGTTGGTTCCACTGTCACTCGTTTCGCAGCTTCCACGATGCGCTTGTCCTACGGCCTCATTTTTCTGGCATTGGCTATTAATCTTCCCTGGGTAGCTGCCGATGTCAAGTTCACAGTCCCAGCTGCTGGCGCTTCGATTCCAGGTGGCACAGCATTCACAGTTGCCTGGGCCGACTCTGGCAATGCGCCAGCGCTGGCAGACCTCACATCCTACACGCTTTTCCTTTTCTCGGGCTCCAATGCTGTACCAGCCCAGTTGTTGAATTTGAAGGCCGCGACTTTCGCAGCAGGGAATACGATCAGCGTCATAGTACCAGTTGGAACAGGAGCAACGGGTACCAATGTATAGTAAGGGTACCTGCTTTCCACTACGTCAAAGTGAAGGCTCTAACACTCCTCAGCTTCCTGGGCATGCTCTCCGTAGCCACCGCCGGAGGAACAGTCTGGAACTACTCCAACCGCTTCACCCTCACGGGCATGACGGGTACCTTTTCCGCCACCGTCATGGCAAATAATAAGCTCGTCACAGGCACAACCGGGCCCGATACCGTCAATGCCGTCGTGTCAGCCGCGGCCGTAGGATCTACCGCGGCAGCAGTAGGGGCAATAGGAGACCCCTGGGCAGTACCGTATAACTTGCAGATTGGCCTGACGAAGTACGCGCCGATGCAGTCCGTCCCGCCCACTGCGATCGTGACGACGAATACCAAGCCGTTGTGGCCGACGTCGGCAGTGCAGTTCGCGACGACGTTTTTGCCGATTCCGAGTGAGGTTACGACACTTACCCAGTCGATGACTTGGAGTGTGTCGAGCCGCGTGAACACTGTATATAACTTTACCTCGAGTAATTTTGGTCCATGCTAATGTGAAATAGGCTCCTGCTGCTGCAATGCCAACGGATGATATGCAAAAGTTCTTGGCTAGGTGGAAGGACTGATTGTATATGCTTTTCATGGGTCAGTTATGAGTACAGAGATATGATGCATAACAGCGCAATTAATTTTGAGTGCTGTAAAGAGGAGTTTGGAGCTTAGAGGATGGTCTGGCGAAGGAATCAGCCCCGGAAGAAGGAGGCTTGTCGAACAAGCATGTCAAAATGAACATGTATAGAACTGGAGATATGACTTACTGTACACTAGAAATCGTATTCGAGAATCCGGGAATGATTAGAGGAACCCGCCAACATGGGAGAAGAGGATCTTGTATCAAGCCAGACGGCACCGACTATTAGTTCTGGCCAATTTTTGAGGTAACTCACCAGGCCCAGAAATCATCCTCTCGCTCGCGCCAGACCGAGTTCCTAGCCAGAGAGCCAGCGGTTTCTCGGGCCCCATGACACTTTCCTGGATTTGAAAATTTAGCAGTCACCCGATTGTGCCCCTGAGCACTCACTCTTCTCGCTTCGACCGTCCTTAGCGAGAGGGTGGGATTTCTTTTCAGCCGCACTTATTCTCACTACTGATCTCTCGGAACGCTCGGTACTTACTCCTGAAAGCGAACAACACGCCTGTCTTACTCAGAGAAATCATACCGGGCGCTATTTTGTTTGGATTTTCAGCACGTAAGTTCACTTGTCTCGCCCTCAATCATACCTGAAAAAGCAACGCCTCTCCTCACCATGCTCCCCATCTCCCCTTCCCCTCGTACCCACCTGCCCATGGTCTAAATCCGGCAATCTAAGACGACCCATTGATTAAACGCAACATCCCCTCCACATCCTTGACGGCCGTTGTCAGATTCTCATACCCGCCCTCCGTAATCAAGATATTATCCTCAATTCGTACGCCACCTACATCCCAGTACTGTTCCAGCACCTCGGCGTCGATGTATTGGGCATGTGTAGGGTCAACGAGGTAGGGCTCAATTATGAAGCGGCAGAAATATATCTTTTCAAGGTGGTCAGTTGGTCTCGCACCCATCAAAACGGACAAAGAGAAGTAACGGCAGAATCTGGGAGGGAAGAGCTTACGCCAGGCTCGACAGTGATAATCGCCCCCGCAGGCAAAGAACCTCGCACCCTTAAGTATCTGAAGATACTGTCTGGGTCGGAGTAGTTGGCGTGACCTCCAGTATCATGCGTGTCCATTCCGAGGTAGTGGCCCAGCCCTTTGATAAATCAGCTGCTGCTCATTACCCAGCGATAGTTCAACTCACCATGCGGCATAAAGGCTACGCTAGTCCTACTTTTCAAGATATCCTGCTTTTTACCCTTGAATATACCAAGGTCTAGGAGGCCCTCGATAAGGATTTCATGGGCGTGCAGGTGTACCGAGTCCCAGATGACGCCGGCGCGAAGGAGGGCGATGCAGCGGAGCTGCATGCGCAGGACAATGTTGTAGATGGAGAGGGAGTGCGAAGTGAAGGTCCCGGAGATGGGGAAGGTGCGCGTCTTTGCATTCGTTAGCTCGATTTCTAAATTTGACGAATATTTGGTGATTGGAAGTATGAGAAGGGTGCTTCACGATATCTGAGGCGTAGCATTGATACTCGCCCCCTGCGTCTAACAGCAAGTTAAGCTTCCCTTCCAGCGGCTGAGCGTTATCAACGTAGTGTAGTGTTGCACCCGCAGTGCCACTCGCTACGATGGAGTGATAGGCTTGCTCGCGGGCTCCGTTTGCGATGCAGTGCTGAATAAAGAGTGCTTCCAGCTCCCTCTCGTTCTTAGCACTCTTTACAGCCTTCAAAACTGCCTATTCACAGGTTACTGTCAGCAAAACAGTATCAGGCTGCTAGCTATCCACGTCTCTGGAGTCGATCTTCCCCGAAAATATCCCACAATAACCCAGGGACATGAGAATTTAGCAACCTACCGTATGAGCAATAGTACTAATCGCATTTGCCTTCCTTGTCAACGCGATCTCATACCCATCTTTCACCACCCTACACTCCTCAATCGCCTCCTTCAACTTCTTGAAATCCTTCTTCTGGGACTGCAAGAACGTGACATGATCGCTGACTTGGTTCTCGATCGCCCACACGGCTTCAGCTGGATGAGCGAGGGAGGCAGCTACTTCGTCTGTAGTGCGGACCTCATCGACATCGTATTTGGATAAAGCTTCAGATGGGGACATGGGAAGCCCGGACCAAATCACGGATTCCGGGTCGATGGGAGGGATGAAGAGCGTGGATTTCTCGGTGGTGATGTCGCTGGGATATGGGTCAATGAGAGCTTGAATGGTGGATGGGTGCCATATAGAGCACGACTCCTTTTATCTCGAAATTTTCAAGGGACAAGAGAGACTGGGTAGCTTCTTTACATACTAGGTGTAGTAGCTGTCCGGCAAAGGACATCCAGTCAGATAGTAGAAGTAGCGACGTTGTCTGGTAGTGTGTCAATCAAAGTTTTTGGTAGGAAGTGTGGGAGTAGGACCTGAATGGGGCCTCGCCATCATTATCCTCAAGCATACGGGTCTTTTGACCTTCAAGGTAAAGTATACCAGTAATATCTGGAATGCTCTTGCGCATCCATTCAACGACTTTTTTGGCGTGCGCTTTGCCAGGGTATTTCCCAGCGAGGACGGCTTCGAAGTCCGCCATTCTTGTAGAGTAGAGGAGTAGAGGGGGGTGCTGTATTGTCCTTGACTTTTCCTTGGGTGACGCTCTCTCTAGATATCCTTTGTTGGTAAATTGCTGAGATGAAATGCCCGTTGCGGTTGAAGGTGAGATGGCGGGGCTGGCGGGGTTGGTTGTGTGGAGATAACAGACATATATATATATATCACGTGATATCAAATGAGTGCCTCGAAGCAGCAGTACGCCGGTGTCAAAGTCGCATATCATTATGGACAGGATATCTGATTATCATCGCGTTTCTAAGCATGCTCCGTAAATTCCACGCTCGCAGGCCAAAATGTCTCGTCTGACCTGCCGTCAAAACGCCCAACTCCTCCCAGGGTATGGCGAACGCGCTCAGCAAAAAGAACAGAATCCTATCGCAGCAGATATCCAACGCCGGTGAGGAGCTTATGCGCCATATGACTCCCGTCCCCCACGCCCTTGCTCATCAGTGATGCCAAGTCCCAAAGAGAACAAATGCCGCATCTTGACTGCGAAAACGATACATACATGCCTCTCCAAATGCCATGGCGATATAGGCCACTATCTTCTAGTACCCGAAATGCAAAATTCGTGAGCGCGTGAGTGCCTCGCTCTAGACAGACTTGGAATCTATGCATCTGCCGTGACTTCCCGCACCGTCTCCTGAACACCCACGCTCGACTTCTTCCGGGACTTTAACGGCATCTTCGGGACGAAGTTCATGGCACCTTGCAGTGATGAAATCTCCTTTAAGCCAATAGCGTGATCCAGCAACGTTTCCTTGCTAGTCTTGAACTCGAAGTTGGTAAGGAAGCAGAAGCTAATCTCCAGTCTCGCCAGCTCACTTTCGCTTACTCCTCCAACCTTGGAAAATCGCGCGTGAGGGTAGCTGAGATCTTCCAGAGCCTTCATAGCCACCCGGAGACCTGCCAACAGTAAACGGTGGCAGTTGCGACGCGTGACAGGGATGGCTCTCTCGTCGACAGCGAGTTTGTGGATGTAGTAGCTGGTTGCGAGATACACAGCCACAGACATGGGACAGAACTTGTGTATGCGCATCAGGTAGTCTTCCAGGGATATCGGCGGTGGCTGCTTCGAGTAGAATTTCCGAGTGATAGCTCCGTGCTGGATATTGAGAGGTTCGGCATTATCACCAATGATAATGTATGGCTCTGTCGGCGCAACCGCAGGGCTGCTCAGAGGAGTCTTTCGAAAGTCTTCACCGTCTATGCCTTCCGAGCTAGCACTCGAGCTTGACGGTGTTCTTGGACGCTGGTGCAGGTCGGCAAGGTTCTTGTAGGAGTTGCTCCGGGCAATGATTTCCTTCTCTGCTTGCATGCCGCGCATGTTTGGTGGTGTGGTGAACGCTGGGGGCGGCGTAGGCGGGATATCTCCAGTGAACTTGACGAGCACTTCGATTCCTGCGCAGAGAAGCTTCAGGGCTACGATTGGGCTGATGGTAAACACGTCCATGCTGTTTGGCGAGGGCGGCACTGACCCGGCGTCGCTGTTGGTCTCGATGGTGAGCCCGGTGTCTGCGGAGGGATTTGGTCTGGGCGGCAAGGAGTAGGAGAAGGAATCGGCGGAATCGTGGATAGATGGTGTGGTTTCTGGAGGACTGAAGGTACCCGCACCCTTTATCGAGCGCCGTGAGGACATGGCGCAGCAGCGTGAGGTATCTTCCAAAAGGTGAATGTGAGCTGGGAATGGTGGAAGCAGTCTCGAGGATGAGTGCGGTAAGTTGCGGGCTTTGTTCTGGGCCAGGGCCGTTGATTCTTGACTGATTTTCTCCAGAGGCGCATAGTCTTCCTCGGGCTTTGAAGGTCTACGCACTCTGTAGATCAAGTGTCTGCCAGACTCTGCGGAGGAGAGGTAATGTCTCGAGGCAGAGCGGTCTTGACTCGATCTCGAGGTGAAGTGAGGGAGAGAGATCGGTAACGAGGAGTTGTACGGAGGATTTGTCTTTGGGTCCCACCCCACACCACCACAAGGCACCAGGGCGGCAAGGAATTCGAAGTGGCAGGGAAGAAGGCGAGGGACGAGAAGAGCCGGCGGTGTATGGTATGGTGTTGCGTTGTGTTGTGTTGTACCGGGATGGGTTGGGTTTTGTTTTTGTATTGTTGTGTGTGTGGTGGTATGGTTGTGTTGTTATGTTGTTGTGTTGTTGTGGTCGCGTGGTTGCGTGGTTGCGTGGTTAAATAGTATATGGGATTCATCATCTTGGTACCGGTTATTATTATAATCAATCTGATGGCCCGAGGTAAGGCACTACCGGGTAAAGTGGGTTGGATTGACAATGTGGCGGGGAGCTCCGTAGGCGCGAAGAAGTGTGGCTATATACAAGGTTGTCAGGTCTTGTATTCTCTTGTTTACATTCTATTAGGTACATCCATGGTGTTGTACAACGTATTACCTACCTACCTACCTATACAGTAACAAACGACAACATGATCTACCGGTACCGAGGTCCGTAGGTACTTCCGTCCCACGGTCCCCTCTCCTGCCCACGTGACCGTACCTGTCTGAATTGAGCCGAGGTGAAGCGGATCTTTTAAAATGACGCCAACTTCAATGTGTCAGCCAGGATTATGAAGGATTCCGATGCTTGTGCTTTATTTAAGACGGAGTGGTCCCACGTGATGATGGGGCGGCCTGGGCTCAATATGTAAATAGGTCTAGTTCACGTTGGACTTCCAATGTAACTATCCTTTTCTTCTCCGTTTCACACTCAAAGTACCAGCTGAAGAATAAGTTGGGTTGAGCTGAGCTGAGCTCTCTCTTGCTTTCTCTTCCTGACTTGCCATACATTGCATTGTCGTAGATTGCGTAGAAGTCTCACCCGCTATCAGACCAAACAGATATGGGAATGAGTGTATAGATACTACATCTTCGACCACTTTCCATTCTGCTCTTGCTATATATAGCTATTCCAGTGATTGTTGCACTGTGCATTACGAACACTGCAAATGACTCCCGTGAGCCATGGCAGAAGCTAGAAAGTACGCAAACTCGAGGTTTTCCTCGGAAAAATTACTTCCCTCCAGCCTTCAGAAGCACAACCATTCAAACCTTTCGAAGTGAGCCTTATCCATCCTCGCTTAGCTTGTTTACCCCCTCAGCCTGCCTAGCCCCGATATACGTAAGCCCAAGCAAAGCTCCAAGAAACTCCATTTCGCTGCATATCCTCTTCCACTACATATTGTCCCCGCCACAGCTCCCGCTTCAGCTCCGGCACTCGTACACGTACACGTAGATACGCCGGTCTCGTGCCCGGCGTGGGGGGCGGTGCAGGAGGGGCCAGTGGTGGTTGTGAGAGTGGGCCAGCTTGCCGGGAGCGGTGGGCCAGAGATATCAGAGAGAAATGGAAAAGGTGTGGTCTCGACTCTGGTGCCTGTCGATCAGAGTGTGTTGGCTGCGGCTGGGGTTAGAAGGAGGAGCAGGATCGACGTGGAGAAGATAATGGGAAGGGTAGAAATGCGCATTTTATTGACTGGGACAGAGAGCATGCTCCTCGACATTGCCTACCCGAGAGAGAATTGAGGAACCAAGTGCTATGGGAAGGGAACTTAGATGCATCGTGTAAATAGGGGATGCTAGAGGCGACACAAATCGAACGCTCGGATTCTTATACAGCTCTCCGCATTGGCCAAATGGACTTTCTAGGCCCCAACACACGGCATGCGAAGACCAAAACAAGATGGGAAGCAGCACATCTCAAATCATCACGAGATCTCGGAACCTTGAACAAGGTTATACATAATTGGAAATGAGGAACGTGAGTATTTATGCTTATTCATCGTTCTCGTCACACTTTATACATGCAGAACACTCCCAACCGTCCAGCAACGCCCAAATAATCAACCTGCAAGAATTACGCCCCTACCAAACCATCCCTATGAGATGGGCGCACAGCTCGCCACTTCTTTTCCTTCCGATACCTATCAGTCACGTCTACTCCAACTATCTACCCACCCTATTCAAACAAAGAAGACCAAGGGTACCCAAAGAAGGGATATGCACGAATAGATGCCGCCAGGGCCGAATGACGAGTAAGTACGACCGCCAAGTCAGAATCGGTGTAGTTGGAGAGCAACGAACAGCGAAAGTTTGAAGTGAAAATTGCAATGACAACATCGTGGATCGTATAACCGTGCTGATATCGTTCATCATCAGTCCGTTCGTTAGTTTGGCTCTGTATTCGGCTAAAAGACAGTGCTTTTGGTTCGTTGATGGTTTCGGGACGTCTTCCGGGTGCTTCCTTGCTCGATCCTTTTCCGTATGCTCTCCTCGCGCTTCAGCACCATTTCGCACCAGCCGCCCTTGGCACTGTGCTCCTTGCCGATACAAGCGTCGAGGACTTGCATCCAGCCTTCTTTATCGGCTGCTGTGTCGGCGTAAAAATCGATCACCTCCCCGTTGTTAAATCGGATGCGGAAACCCTCTTCGACAAACATGTAGCCTTCCTCCTCCTCGGCGAAGCCAGACTTGCGACGCTTTCCACCTTTGCCAGTGGTATCCTTCTGCGTCAGCGAACGTCGATCGTCGATCAGCTTACTAGCATTGGCGAGATTAATGGTTGCACGGGGTTGGCGTGTGGACTCATGGTAGGCGGTGAGCTTGCTTCCAGCAAGCTTGAAGTATCGTCGCCGCCAGTACTGTTTTGGAGTCAGTGAGGGGGAAAGATGGGGAAAAATTAGGGGGGGGGAGAAAAAGG